AGAAGATTTTTGAAATTTTAGTCAATTTGACCCTTTTTGGCCCCGCCCCGCCCCTCGGGCCCCTGGGGGCTTAGGACTAAACCGGCAACCAATTTTGTTGACCTTTGTCCATGGAAGGTCCCTACAAAATTTCATTGAAATTGGTTCAGGGGTTTTGGAGAAGAAGTCGAAAATGTAAATTGTTTACGGACGCACGACGGACGACGGACAAAAGGCGAACGCAATAGGTCACTTGAGACTTTGTCTCAGGTGACCTAAAAATGAAATGCTGTAACATATTCAATTTTAACATAGCATATGGTGAGGATATTTGGCCAGTAGTATGTTGTGAGGTGGTAATATAAACTTTCCTCAAAATAAATGACCTGGACCTACTTTTAAGGGTACAGGCATCAAATGTGTAAAAACCTTTTAACAACTCCTTCTGAATAACCAGGAGGCCCAGGGCGATGATAGTTGGCCAGTAGGTATCTGACATGGGGTGCTATAAAGTTTCCCCCCAAAAATGTAAATATTGTAGAACCGGAGTGACAATTATAAGATGACACAATATCTTTGATAATAATCACATGGATGTTGGTGATTTGTGATATTGACTTAAGTGTTAATATTTTTAGAAACAGTTCAGTAATCTCTATATTGCACCCCCCTAAATTGTAATGTCACAATGCCCTCTGATAAATGCAACACTTTTGTCAAGACAGTATCCTTATTTTTCACTTTGATTTATGAAAAAATCAGCAGAACTGCACATCTAAATAAGGAACACTGTTCTTTTAAATTCAGTGAATATGTTATTATGTAAATCTAAAAAGTTATAACCGACCACGACTTTGCATTGATCAATATCTCTTTTCCAGGTACATATATCCATATATTCACCTCTACGAAAGTCCATAATTTCTAAGTATTCAATAGAATCATAATCAAGGCAAAAATAGATTATATTTATCTTACTGTATTTGAGCTTGCAGTCTTTCAGAATCTCGTTGATTCCTGTGCACATTGAGAGGTCACTCTGTGTCTGGGTGCACTCAAAGAATTGTCTCATCTCATATTCACAGGGCTGGCTCATCTGCTGCTGGTTGTATGCAGGCTGGCCTGCAGCCTGTTGGGGGGCAACTTCCTGGGGTGCAGATTGACCCCCACCACCTCCTGTGATAGCGTGACCAACCACATGACCCTAAAAGGCAGATTTGTTTTTTTACAAATTCCAGCTTATCATGTTTAAAACTGGTGTGCAGATGCACATCACTTCAGTGTCGACATAATTTTCATGTGCATGGATAATCCTGAATGGGGCCATTGACCCCTTCAAACTGAAATTGACCCCTCTTTGTTTTAATTTTTACACCAAATGGTCCCTCATAATTTTGATATTAACTAAAAATTGCTGAAATGACTCAAATTCCAGAATTTTCCCTGGGTGTGTTATAGTTCGATGTGATTTTATTCAGTGAAGTTTTATGAACTTAAATTAACTAGTTATTAATTTACATATATATGTATATCCCAAGCAACTCCCCGTTGAACTATAAGTGAAAACAAATTGATATATAGAATGTTATATAAACTTGTTTACACTAACATATTCATATCATAGGTACAGTTCCCATGTCAGACTCAATTTTTTTTTTGAAATTGGAACGTTGAAATACTGAAATCATCCCCTTTGCGTTGACCAGATGACACCGAAATTTGCATATTTCATTGGAAGTGCCAACACAATGAAATGTCCGAATACTTTGTCCCTGCGATGAACAATTAACATACCACAGTGGATCCTATTGCCACGCCTCCAGCAGTAGCAGCCATCTGGGCCATCATTCCTGGCTGTCTGGGCTGGCTACCAGCCATCATGGGGGCTGCTGGGGGAGCACGGGCTGGCAATGACTGGCGTGGAGCAGGGGGAGGGGAAGACCTCCTGTAACACAACATATCGCATATTAAATTGATAAAGTGATCAAAGATGGATAAAACAAGCTCAGGCTACTGTGTACAATATTTGACAGGAATTGCAGAGGGTTAAACAGTGTTAGACAGAATATAACATAATCTTCAACATATCTTAAGCCTAGCGGACAGGAAAAATAATGCAGCGCCAGACCTGGATTTGAACCCGAGACCCTCCAAACACCAGACGAAAGTTCTACCAGGTCTCAGAACCTGGTCACCCACAATCAACCCAGTCTTGCTTCACTACATTCCTCCCTCTTTATCCTTAGTAGTCACCCCCGTAGACAACACTACTTGCAACCGAAGTTCAGGTTCTATGCATTTACTATGCGCTTGAATACTTGTGTAGCAGAAAATTGAACTGGACTGGGTCAATTGTGGGCAACCAGGTAGCTCAATTGGTAGAGCGTCCGTCTAGATTGTAGAGACCAGGTCTAGCTCAATTTTCAATTTCCTGTTACCAACCCTTGTTTCAAGCATTGGGTGTATGCTTAACAAGGGGATACTCGAACCTGGGTTGTTAATAGTTGTGTTTTTGGGGGCAAAGACTTAGAACAAGAGGGAGGAATGTTATGGAATTGGTCTGGTTTGATCATCGGCGACCAGCTCAGGTAGCTCATTTGGTAATTTGGTAGAGCATCCATTTAAAGTTTGGAGAGTCAAGGGTTTGATCCCTGATCTCGTCATGCATTTTTCAATCTCCTGTTACACTTGAAATAATTTAGGTAATAGGTCTCAGCTAGGCACTACTGGAACAGGAGGGGATAAATGTAAGGCCAGACCAGGATTTGAACCGGGAACATTAGAAACTTCGAGGAAATCGAGGAACCCTGCTGTTGACAACCAACACAGCCTTATTCTCCTATACTTGTAAAAAAAACTCCATTAAGTAATTGATCTACATATGTTACAAGTGTGGGAAAATATAAGGATGATTAATAACGCATTTTCATCTATTCTGAGTCAAGAAACAGTGATTTGGCAATACAGTAAATCATGGTGCTAATGATAGACAGGGAACTGCAATAGAATCCCCTCCTGGGTTATTGTACAATATAGCACTGACAGATCACTTTACAAATGAATCATTTATTAATTAGCATAGAAAGTTTCCCACAAGTATTCCGATATCATTCATGTCTGTAACATATATATAACCATATTTCTATTTTATGCTAAACTGATGAGGATAACTAAAACATTAATGAGGCTGTGATTATGTGGATCGTAGTTAAGACCAAAGGTAATGCTTACGCAACGTCGGGTGTTCTTTATATAAAATACCCCCCTCCCCCCGTCCCTCCGGCGTTGCGTAATTGACCTTTAGCCTACCCGTGGCCGTGCCGAAAGCAAGTACAAGCTCTTAATCACGAGTCTCTGAGAATATAAATCAAACATGTGCCAATTTTAAAGCGAAAATAGATATATTGCCGTGCTCTGGCACTGAAAAATAAATAATCAACATAGGAAAATCGTCTGCGCAAAAGGGTGCCCCAGAACAGCTGATGTAACTTTACAATTTAACATTTGATGCATAAACAGACGTGTATTTTTCGGTCTGATATATCGAACCTGGACATAGGAGATGATGTTCTTCCTCTTCGGCCCATGTTTAGGATAAAAGTATTTGTTTTGTAAGTAAATTCTCTTGAAAAATAGCACGTGTGATTTGTTGTGTCCTCCTTGTCCTTCGCCCTTCGCCTTAAAATCCTTCGAGCAAAATCTAATAGTAACATTTGATTGGTACAAAATTGACCAATCAGAACAATCCTTCTTGAAAAGTTCGTCTGCTCTTGTAGACGCACATGCTAACGTTTGGCACTGAGTTTGCAGATCAATGCTGGTATGAAACAAAAACGTAAATGGTGTTCAAACTGTATTAGCTTTCCTAAAACAAATTCTACAAGTTTTGAATATGATAGTTAATCGGAAATCATAATCCTTCTATCTGACACGGCGTCCATAGCAACTTATAAAGTCATGTCGGTATTAAACGTTGTCTCGTTCATTGATCTGTCCAGCCAAGGGTAGCTTCCTGTGTAACACGGTCTTTTGTAATGAAAAGAAAGCAATTTCACTGCAGACACAGGGGAGTCTGTTGTTTGACAATTTATTTACTTGGACATGCCCTACTGTGTTTGTGGAGACCTATAGAAATAATCTAGAATGTGGCCTTTTATGTCGCCAAGCCATAATATATTCACAAGTTCCCTAGCATAGATTGGCAAACAGGCTGAACACTAATGTAATAAGTGAACATGCTCTGAAAATGCAGGGATTTATAGTGACAGGTTTCATTCCTGCAAATGTCACACATTCCATTCAGAATATGTATGTTTAGTGCTTACTAAAATGAAGCCAGCCAAGTCGGGATATATTGATGTTCGGATAATATCATCGGCAGTGATTCATTACTGACAAAGTCGAACAGTGGTCGGATAATTATAGATTAAATAGCCTATGCCTATTTAGATCTGCCTCACATATAATAACATCTATTTGATTAACCGTGTGTTTCGTGAGAGATCCAGTACGGAGATCTAGGGAATTTAGAATTCCGGACTTTATATCTAATTATACCTTTTCAAAGTGAATAGATATACATAGAGTTATACACACACCACTTACAGGTGAATGAGACGGATAACACTTATGTGACATGTATATATACCCAGTAAAACTGTCGCTCACCTTGGATATTTAAACGGGATTTACTTTTCTGATAAGGAATACAATTCTACGGTTGTGAACACCTTAAATCATGTGCAAACAGTTGGAGTTTTTATATATATTGTTATAACAAGTTTCTCTTCTACTTTGTTAAATGTTGAAGCGTCGAGCTGGATTAAGTAATGGATTTTTAGGATGAAGATATCAATGGTGATATGTAATATCTTTGACTGAAGACATTTTAATATCTAATACTGAACTTGAAGTGAATTCTTGATGTGTGTTCGGTGGTGGCATGTATGGGATATTATATCACATTCGTCTACATAAAAGAGATAAACATATCTTATTCGTCGGATTATAATATAAAACCACACTTCGCTGTGTAAGTAAGGCAATACAGTATAGTCTTTTTATTACTTTATTTCATCATTTTCAAATGGATAAAGGAGGACAAACAGAGACTGGTGGTCGAGAGTGTCGACATTCCAAGCCCCGAAATAAGGTTCCCGTTAAATCTGTGTCGGAGCCTGAACCTCTACAGGATGATGACCAACAGATCGGGATCATCAAAGAGGAAACGGAAGAAGAACTGGCATTGTTGGAGTCGTCGGGGCGACCAATGACGGGAGGAAGTCATCGGCCGATGTCAAGTGTGTCGACCATCCTCAGTCGTCCGGGGAGTCGGTACACACGGCCAAGTACATCCAAGTCCCGCACATCTTCAGTCGAAACTCACTCAGGGGCAGCTTCACCAACAAGACGGGTAAGTATATTTTTTTTGACAAAACCTGACTTTAAATTACAACTAATAATGAATTGTCAATGGTGTGTATATATGTAATGTGTGAAAAGGGTAAAAAGATGTAGAAATTGGTGGCCGGGTGGCACAATGGATAGCGCACTGATCTTTCACTGTCTCAGATGGCCAGGATTTGACTCGTCAATCAGATGTTAATACTTAAAAAGGTATAGGTCACCTGCTTGACCATGTCCGTTCTCCGAGTAGTACTGCTTTTATCCCACATTAAGATCCCTGTGTGCTTAAACTTGATTCAGAATTGTTGCAAAATAAAATAAAATAAAGCTTACATTTCAAATGTAGAAATATCATTTAATCAAACATCAGTACTAGTAATTTTAGATTGTTCAGGATATGAATTCTTGTAATTCGTGTATAAAATTTAATTAAAAATACAAGATTTCATGTACCTGTATACATATGTATATGCAAATTTTGTAATAGTGTTAAGTGCATGGTCTATTGATTGAATAAGATACCTATATAAAGCATTGATAAAAAATTGATCAAGAGATATTTAAAATTTATTTTAACACCTGACTATTTCACTAGGATATATACTTATAATTGCATTGAGATATAATATACATCTATAAATATATTATGTATATTATACATAAATGTTTATATGGTATATATTTTGGGCGCTTGATTTCTTGTATAATTAGGATAGTTAAAATGTTTCTAGTTCAAGGGTATTGCTTTTCCTACAAAGAAATTCAACTTCAGGAAAGAAATTTCATGAAACTGAAGTCAGACATTTAACTGTTCGATTCAAGACTTGCCTTTCAATATTACAGTTTAAAGTGTCCTTCGGATTAAACACACTTATTATTAGTTGATAGAGCTGTCATGTTGTTTTAAGGTCTTCAGATCTTTCTTGACTGGGTGTTACCGTGTATGAATATATATATATTTATGTGTGGTAAATATCTTTAAGGTTTTACCTACCGGCATATATATCATATCATATGATATTTCATTGATTAATGTTATAAATGAAAATAAAAATGGCAAGGTTTAAAATTTCATTTGGATGTGAACAATTTCCACTCCTGGAAGTATAATTTACTAATTGGTTGTTCTTGAAAATTTAAGGAAATTTAAATGGATATACCATTTAAAGGCCTTCAAGATCTAAGGTCATTGTGGTAGTCAGAATCTACTAGATAAAACATGGCCCATATATTATACTATAAACAGAGAGTGTCTACATGTAGGTTAAAAGGTTCCCTACTACATGTAAAAGACAGGCCAATCAATATTTCAGTGTTATTTCGCAGGTGTTTTATTACTTGAAGATTTTTTAAAAGGGAAATATGTAAATAAAACGCGTTCTCAGAACCTCATTTTTCATATTTGTATGCATATGGTAAGCTATTTAATCACATCTTTTAATATAAAGAAAAATATTGGCTCATTAAAGATGAGGTACAAGAATGGCCTTTTATTCAGAATATATTGAAATATATAAAATATGTAAGGTAAAGGCTAAAGCAAAAGTGTTGAAATCATTCACACACGAACATATACATTTATTATATATATATATTTGTCATGAATGCAATGACACTAAGAAAGAAAATATCAAATTTACTGTTAACGCTGGTCACATAGAGCGGATCTTTATTAAATCAGCTAGAAAAGGACAGGACTGAGTTGGCATTTAAATCTGAAGAGCACAGAATATCAGATTGATATCAGAGTCCCTTTTTTGTTGACAGGTCACAGGATCAGACATGTTGATAATAGCCAGTTTAAACTCTCATGCCTCCATATATTCTTGTTGAACTGAATTAAGTTCTTACACTTTTGTTGGGAAATCTCATTCCTTTTACGTCCAATTTGAATATCCTTTTCTGACACATGAATAATTCAAAAGAAAAAATATTGCAGGCTGTGCAGGGAAATATCGAGAGATGCAGCCCAAGTTATGTGTACACATGTAACTGAACAAATTAATAAGAGAAGTTTTCACAGCAGGAGATCTAACTTGAAATACTTCTATGAATAACAACATGCGCCTTCATGCTAAAGCTTGGGAGTGGTGGTATATTATACCAGATTGAGGGTCATCAGTGTTACAGTATCTGTTGGGAAGACGTTTTATTCCGTAGATTACCACACACTATACATGATCTGGATCAATATTATGACATGAATACTTCGGATGAAGATGTATTCTTATAATTTGTGGTTCAGCTCTTAAATAACAATACCCTGGTAACACTATCAAATAGCCTGTATATACACAGGATTCAGATCACCAGGGTTAGCCCCCTCAAACATTGTAGAACTATAGGGCTACCTGCCTTATCATTGATGAACCAAGGTTAACCCCTTAAGTCTTTTTGGACTTTGATTAGCCCCTTAACCTTATAGGACCAGGATTAGACCACTAAACCTTGTAGAACTAGGGCTACCTGCCAATTAACATTGATGATCCGAGGTTTATCCCTTAAGTCTTTTCGGACATTGATTAGCCCCTTAAAGCTTTTAGGACTAGGATTTTCCCTCCTTACCTTGTAGAACCAGGGTAAGGCTTGTTATCATTGTAGAATTAAGGATGTAAGGTTAGCTCTTTTAGGACTATAATTAGTCCCTTTAACCCTATATGGCCAGGATTGTCCCCTTTCCCATCCTTACCGTGTAGAACTAGGGTTAGCCCCCCCATCATTGATGAACCAAGGTTAACCCCTTAAGTCCTTTAGGACATTGATTAGCCCCCTAAACCTTGTCGGACCAGGATTAGTCCCTCCTTACATTGTAGAACCAGGGTAAGACTTGTAAACATTGTAGAACTAAGGTTAGCTCAGCCTCTTTCAGCCTTTTAGGACAAGGACAATTTCAATTACCCTATAGTTTGGCCCTTTCAAACTTGTAGGACCAGTATTAGTCCTTTAACCTTAAGGGGACTTAGCTTTTTAGGACCATGATTAGTCCTTTGTAAGACCAGGAATGGTCCCCTTTAAACAATATAGAACTAGGGTTAGCCCCTTAGCCCTTGCAATTAATCCACCAAGTTGGGACAGCATTGACCCCTTTATCTTGAAGAACTGGGATTAGCCCTCTGAGCATTTTCACAAAGACCCCTTAGCCTTTCAGGACTTGAATGATTAGCTCGTTAAACCCTGTAGGACCAGGGCTAGCCACCTAAACATGCTAAGCCCAAGGTTAGCCTCATTGAGAAACATGCTCTCCCTCTCCTTCCTGCCTTACCCTTAGCATTGTAGAACCAGAGTTATAACCCACAGTCCACTTAACATAGTTGGACCATATTTGGGGGTCCCTTAAATTGTTGACTAGTAAACTGTTACATTTTCATAGATATTGAATTTTTACTTCACCTGGTCTGAAGATCAAATTCCAATCAGCATTTAAGAAGAATAAATCCTTTGAAGAAATTGTTGACGGACAGACCGACAACGGACAAAGAGATGGATATCAACCTTATTTGGTTGGGAGGGGCTGACACCCGGGGTCTGAGGGGCAGGGCCAAAACAGGGTAATTTGGCAATATTGCTTTGCGTCAATTGCGACTCTTTCTCTGGAACTAAGTGATGGATATCAACCATTTTGGGTTTGGATCTCCGCATTCTTAGATGGTGGGGGATTCAAAATTATACCAGTTGAAGAGCTGACCCCAGGTCTGAGGGGTGGGGCCAGAAACTTGGACATTATTGAGATCCCCACCCTATAACAATATATGCATTTGCCAAGTATATAGAGATGAATACACACAGCTTTCACGATAGCCACTGGGTCTGGCCCCACCCTTGGAGACTTTATACCTGGAACTTAATTCTTGGGTCATAACTTTGAAACAGTTGAAATTCTCAACTAATAACCATAATATGCAATTGATGGGCATAAAGAGATAAAAGATAGTTGTGATGTTAAAATTGACCCTGGGGTCAGGCCTGACCACTAAGGACTTACTTTCTGGGCCTTAGCTTTGAAACAGTTGAGATCTCCGTCACATAGCATTATATAGCTCATGGGCATTTAAAGATCCAATACTGGTGAGCAATACAGGCCCTCTTGGCCTCTTGTTTTCATAGCTACCAGATAATTCTTTTATCTGTCACCTTAGGCAGTTTGTAAGAACTCCTTCAATTGATTTATTATTTAGAATATTTTTAATTCAATCACCGCTTTTGGTGAGGTACAAAGGTTTGAATAGTGATCAAGAATATGTATGAAACAGTTATTAATTTTAATCAGTGAGGAAGGTGTCGCATAAGGCCTGTAAAATGATAAAGTATCATGATTTGTAATTTTTAGAAGCTGACTTAATGACGAACAATTATACAGAAAAAATGAATGAGGTTGATTACAGGACTGTATTGAGAAACACTTCTGTGTACTATATAATGTTCACACTAGTTCTGAACTTGATTCCAGTAGATCTATAGAGACCTTGGGTATGTTTAAGGAATTGATTTTATGGTGTCAAAACATTTGAAATAATAGCTGTATGTACAGGCGTACATAACGGAGTATTGATTTCTACTTGTTGGTCATAATAGTCAATGTATTGTTAGCTACACACAGAATTTAAAGTTTTGAAAAAAAGAATCTTGATTTATTATTTCTGATCCGTCTAGTCTGGTTCTTGCTGGCTTTGTTTTAGATTTAGTAAGAAGTTATCAATTTTTTAATGGTAATGACAATAATTATCTAAGGTGAAAATATTGCCTATTCATTATTGCCTTTTCTTGAATAATACTATTTTAATCTGGAATAGTTTGAAAAATATCTTGTGGACAAGGAGAAGCATTATCTGGGTACAGATAACCAGCACTGCTGGGTTGGCAATAATAACTATCCCGGGTATTTACCTGTGCTGTTGAATCATAACACGGACACAAATATAATGAACTTATACAGTATAACATTGATACAAAAAGTGAACTAGCTTAAATACAGTATAATATTGATACAAATAGTGAACTTAAACAGTA